ATTCCGAACTAATTCTACTAATTTTTTCTTTTTATTTGAAATTTATAATTTTTAAATTCGTAATTTTTAAATTTATCTAAATATTTTCGAAATTGTATATATAGTTAACTGAATTAATGATATTAAATGAATTGAAATATTGAATGAGTTTAAAAGATTCACCGAAATGTCATCTTGTGAAAAAAGTAAAGTACATATTTTCCAAAAATAAAAAAATTATTTACTATTATTATTATATTTTTAGAAGGAAAAATAAATAAATAAAAAATTATTTACTATTATTATTATTTGTAAAAGGAAAATATAATTAATACTAAATTTAAATGAATGAAAAAAAGTATAAGTACGGTTTGAATAATTGTTAAATAATTTCCAAATGGAAAGAATATAATAGAGGAAGGGTTAGGGGAAAAAATTTATAACAATCTTGAAACTCTCTCGCACGATCGTTAAGACTCGAAAAAAGATAAAAGCGGGTAAAAGTGTAGAGGCGCGTGTATAACGTAACTTTTCTCCAATGATTGTTATCTGACGACGATATATTAAGTGCCATTACCAGTATTTAGAAGGCGGTGCTGCTTGGCATTGATCTTATCGAGATCGTAACACAACGCTTAATTCGACCCCATTGGCCAAGTGGACCAAGTTCACCAAGATTAATTGCTCTCCTAGACACTGCGTTAATTGTTATTAAATTTTTTTTAATTGCCCCCATCGACACTATTATATTCTCATCGAATACGTTTATAATAGTAGAAAAAATTATTTTCCATTCTCTTCGTATAGAAATTTTAACTGGCATTTGATTGGGAACAGAGTAAACCCCATTTCAGTTCAGATCAGGTGTTTCTTTAGGGAAAAAAGAAATTTTATTTATTTTTTGTTATATATTTTCTTTTACTATCTTCTTGAATTTGCTTTCTGGTTTTGTTAAATTTGAATTTGGCGCCATTCTAACTCTCAAAGTTCAAGTTCAGATGTCATGAAAACTCTCTCGCAAATAAGATAAAGTCAGGGAATTTTATAAACCTTAAAAATTCAATTATTTTCAAAAGTAGAAAAATTCTTCTCATAAATTCAATTATTTTCAAAAATTTTAATAAAATCTTTGGCAAAATTTTAATTATTTTGAAAATCTTTCCTCATTTCAATGATTTTTAATATACACTACTTTAATAAAAATTCCCAAATGAATTCAATTAGTTAAAAAAAATTTAATAAAATTCTACACAAACATTTCATTATTTTTATAAATAATAAAAAATTTCACAGGAATTCAATTATTTACAAATTATTTTTATAAATTAATGTTCAATTATTTTCATAAATAATAACATTTTTTATAGGGATTCAATTATTTTCATAAATACATAATAAAATTCATCGCAGACTTTCAATTATTTTTAATACAATTTTAATGGAATTCCTCGAAAAATGTAATTATTCTTAAAAATTTTATTAAAATTCATCGAAGGAATTCAATTATTTTAAAAACCTTTGCTAGAATTTATTTATTGGAATTTAAGTATTATTTTTAATACATTTTTAATTAAATTTCTTTAAAGAATTAAATTATTTTCAAAAATTTTAATGAAATCGTTTGTAAGAATTTAATTTTTTTCAAAATAATTTGAATAAAATTCTTCGTAAAAATTTAATTAATTTCGAAAATTTGTCAAAATCCAATTATTTTTTAATGACTACTATTTCAATAAAATTTCACAAGAGAATTCAATTATTTAAAAATTTGTTGATAAAATTCTTTATGAAAATTCAATTTTGAGAAACATTCAATTATTTAATAAAATATTTATTTATGTTGTTAAATAATTGAATTCTCGTAGAATTTTTTAGTAAATATTGATTTAAAAATGAATTTCAATTAAAAATTGTAGATTATAATTATTATAATTGAAAATTGAAAGCTTTATAGCGTGGATATTTAGAAATAATTGAATTTTCAAAAGGTGTCAAATAAAAATCTTTGAAAATTTGAACTTTTCATATTTTCAATTATGAATTCTGTAGAATTAATTTTTTTTTAAAGTTAAAGAATTTTTTTAAAAAAATTATTTAAAGTTTTTATTTTCTAATGTATAATTATAATTAAAGAAATTCCGAACAATTTTCGTAAAATTGAATTGTGAACAAATGAATTCGAAAATTCATGAAGAAATTATACTTCCCGCCTCGTTCTCGGGATTACAATAAGTAGTAGTATCGTTTCTACTCACTCGCGCCGCCACAATTCAGAGTCAAAGCAAAAAGGGACTGTTCCTCTCGCCCCTCTATCGGTCCTTCGCCATCTTGTTCATTCGTTTTTTTGTGCTTCGCGTCGTCACATCACATTTTCACAAAATGGGAAAATCAGGTAAACACCGTTCAAAAAAATCAACGAAAAATGATTATAAGCGTTTAGAAAGGGAAGTGGAACGTCTGAGAAGAAGAATAAATGGACGAAAACGTCCATCTTCGTCATCGGAGTCAGATTATTCGGGCAGCTGTCCGTCTGCAAAATTGAGAAGAGCGTCATGTAGTTCGGAGCATTCTTCTCATTCTGAATCGAGAGGACAAATACACAATCGACAGAATAGAGTTCGTTCACGTTCCCGTTCCTGTTCCGCATCAGTTCGAGTCGCATCTCACAGTGCTGGTCAACCAGGTAATTTTAGTAATTGATAATACATATTTAGACGGTATAGCTCATTCTAAAGGTGAGAAAAAGCCGATCTCTTGACTGGTGAGCCTGCGCACAAGTGCAGGACAAATCCAGATCACACAACTTGTATATATGTATATATATGTAACAAAAGTGAGGTTAAAAGCCTGCACATAAGTGCAGGACTAATCCAAATAATGTTATTATTTTCAGACAAAGAGGTTAGAAATGACAAAAAAGACCAGTCCAAACAAACTAACGCTTCCGTTTCAAAAAAGCTGGATATTCTTGGAGAGAATCCTTCTTCTAATGAACAAAAAGAAATTAAATTACATCCGGACCTCGTGGCTAGATGGAAACATTGGATGTCTTCTGGAATAACCGAATCAGTTAAAGACGATTTATTAAAAAATTATCCTAGAAAAGGAGACTGCTTATTAGAGCCTCCTCAATTAAATCCCGAAATAAAAACTCCAATGACTGATGTTGCAAAAAAGAGGGATGATCATTTCCAAGACTTGCAACGCTTGGTCGGTTCTGCTTTGTCCTCAGTTGGACTTGCGATTTCAGATTTGCTCGGAGAAGAGGAATTCGATCCTTTTAAACAGTTACAACTACTTTCTGATGCGGGAAAACTTCTCACAGAGATGTTTCATTCAATTTCAGTGGCCAGGCGTGCCTTTATTACTCCTGGATACACAAAAGTAGTACGAGATATATTGGAGAGTGCAACAGATAATCCAGCCTTTCTTTTCGGCGATAAATTAAACGAAAAAGTAACGGAAGCGAAAACTTTCGAAAAACTGGGCAGAGATATGAAAGGCATACAAGGAAATAAAAATAATTCTTCGAGGCAGCCTTTAAACTCCAGGAGCTCATCCCTGAGGAAACCCGAGACTTCGCGGATGAGCAGGGGATACTTATCTCGAATGAACCATCCGGACTACAAGAGATCCAAGTCAACAGCGGCACCAACATCGCGACGTCATCAAGCCACTTCGAATTACCCGAAGTTCCTGAAACCTGCAACGCGTCAGAAACAATAGAGGTATGTAGTGCCGGTAGGCTTAAAGGTTTTGTAAAAAACTGGCAAATTATTACGCACGACAAGTTTGTCCTTAATTGTATACAAGGGTTTAAAATACCTTTCGAAAATCTTCCAATACAATCATCTCAACCAGTAGAAAGGAATTGGTCAGAAAAGGAAACCGTAGCTTTGAGGTCTGAAATTAGTAAACTTAGAAATATGGGTGCAATAGTCATTAGTTCTCCAATAAAAGATCAGTTTTTGTCGCCTTATTTTTTAGTCGATAAACCAGACAAAACTAAACGTTTTATTTTCAACTTGCAATCCTTAAATAAGTTTATCAAAGTGCCTCATTTTAAAATCGAGGACTTACGAACAGCTTGTAAGTTAGTAGACAAGAACTATTATATGTGTCATTTAGATTTAAAAGACGGATTTTTTCATATACCCATTCACACAGAACACAGAAAGTTTCTAAGGTTTATATTCGAAGGTGTCATATACGAATTTGTTTGCTTGCCATTTGGGTTGAACATTAGTCCGTATATATTTACAAAAACTTTAAAACCAGTAGTAAATTATTTGAGAGATAAGGGTTTTCTATCGGTTGTCTATCTTGATGATTTTCTGCTCCTAGCAAATAATTATGAGAATTGTCTCATTAATGTCAATACAACGATAGAATTTTTAGAATCTATAGGGTTTTCAATAAATTACAAAAAATGTCATATAACACCTTCAAAAATTTGTCCTTTTTTGGGTTTTTTGATAAATTCAAATAATTTAACCGTTGAATTACCGTCTGAAAAAAGAAAATCTTTACATTCTCAACTTGATAAATTTTGTTCGAAAACAACATGCACCATAAGAGAATTTGCACAGATTTTAGGTCGCTTGGTAGCAAGTTGTCCAGCAATAGCTTATGGTATGGCTCACACTAAGAGTTTAGAAAGAACAAAATTTTTGGAATTAACTTTGACAAATGGCGATTACGATAAAAGAATGAAAATCCCTGATTCTTCATTCTCAGAATTTCATTGGTGGATGGATCGGCTACCTTACTCTATAAATCAGATAAGACAGTTTAAGTTTGTTCGGGAAATTTATACAGATGCTTCAAAAACAGGGTGGGGAGCGTCGTACGAATCTGAAAAGATTCACGGGTTTTGGAATGAAACAGAAAAATTAAATCATATTAATTACTTAGAAATATTAGCCGTATTTTGGGGATTAAAATCATTTGCAGAAGATCTGTCTAACTGTGAAATTTTACTACGGGTGGACAATACCACGGCTATTGCGTATATCAACAAGATGGGAGGAATTCAATTTCCCCATCTTAATGATCTAAGTAAACAAATTTGGAATTGGTGCGAAAAAAGGAATATCTGGGTTTTCGCATCCTATATTCCTTCAAAAGAGAATTGTATAGCAGACGAACAATCAAGGTTAAAGAATTTGGACACAGAATGGGAGCTAAATGATTTTGCTTTCAATAAAATTGTTAGAACGTTTTTTAAACCGGAAATCGACCTTTTCGCGACAGATAACAACGCTAAATGTCGCGCATTTTGCTCCTGGGAAAATTCACGTTACGCTATAGCAATGGACGCTTTTACTATTTCTTGGTCCAATAAATTATTTTACGCGTTCCCTCCTTTCTCGATGATCTTACGAACGCTAAAAAAGATAAAAACTGATCAAGCACAAGGCATTGTTATAGTTCCTATGTGGACCTCACAGCCGTGGTTTCCTGTGTTTCGATCACTGTTAGTTCAAGAACCTATAATATTTAAACCTACTCTTAACCTTGTAATATCTCCTTGCAGAACTCGAGCGCATCCACTAGCCAAAACGCTTTCCCTGGCTGCAGGGCTCTTGTCAGGGAAAGTTACGCAAGAAGACAGCTTCCGGAAAACACTATAGACGTTCTATTAGCATCTTTAAGTGACTCTACATTTAAACAATATAATTGCGCGTTAAGAAAATGGTGGGTTTATTGCAAAAATAAAAACTTAGACGTTTTCGATCAAGATTCGAATAGCATATTAAGTTTCTTAACAGAAGAGTTTAACAACGGATCTTCATACGGATCTTTAAACACCATTCGTTCAGCTATATCTCTCATATCTAACAAAAAAGTATCAGATCTTGTAATGGAACGATTTTTTCGAGGGATATTTAAACTAAAACCAAGTAGAGCAAAATATAATAGAACTTGGAATGTGTCTTCAGTTTTGGACAAAATAGCAAAATGGTTTCCACTCGACGAATTAGATTTAAAAACACTTACACAAAAACTAATTATACTCTTGGCTTTAGGAACCGGTCATCGAGTACAAACTTTTTCACTGATTTCGTTAGATGCTATTGTTTTTTCGAATAATGATGTTGAGATAAAAATCGAAAGCCTTGTAAAAACATCTAGACCTGGTGCGTGTCAACCCTGCTTAGTTCTTCCATTTTTCACTGAAAAACCCGAACTTTGTGCTGCTTTAACTTTAAGAAATTATCTCGAGAGAACAGAATCCTTAAGAGGAGAAGAAAAATGTTTATTTATTAGTTTTCAAAAACCACATAAAGCAGTAGGGACACAAACGATAAGTCGTTGGATAAAGGAGGTACTTCATTCATGTGGCGTTGATAGAAACTTCAAAGCCCATAGTACCCGCCACGCGTCCACCTCGAAAGCTTTCGAGAAAGGTCTAGATATAAGAGTAATTCAAAATACCGTAGGTTGGTCACAAAACTCATCGACGTTTGCTAAGTTCTACAACAGGCCAATCATGGAATCTGAAAGTTTCTTTAATGTTGTAATCAACAACTAATTTACTAAGTTTCCTTAATGTTATAATCAGTAATTAATTTACTTAATCGAGGTATTTGTTTATAAAAAATAAATAAATAAAAATAGTTTCAGAAAAATTGTCGTCTCTAAAAATCTACTTATTGTAATCCCTTCGAACGAGGCGGTCGTATAATTACGATTGAACTTCACATAGGTAAGTTCGTTTAATCGTATAATTATTCAAAAATTATTGAAAATTCTATAGAAATTGATCATTGAAATCATATGATGAAAATAATTTCAAAGAAGGTAGCAAAATTCTTATAATTTTTTTATTTAAAATGTTTGAAAATATTAATTTCTATAAAAAAATAATAATGATTAAATATTCATTTTAAATAACAATATTCATTAAAAGAATTCAGTTTCGTTTAAATATTAAAATTTTTCCCGGAAATTCAATTATTTTTAAAAATTTTTCCCAATTTAACGATTTTTAATATTTTCCATTTTCCTAAAAATTTTCCAAAAAATTCAATTATTTAAAAAAATTGATATAAAACTCTACGAAACATTCAATTATTTTTATAAGTAATAAAAATTTCGCAGAAATTTAATTATTTAAAATAGAATTTGTAAAAAAAATTTCAGATAAAATTAATTATTTAAAAAAATGTTCTAAATTTCTTCGCAAGAATTCAAATGTTTACAAAATTTATGGAAAGAATTGAATTTAAACAAACATTCCATAATTCAATAAATTATTTATTTTTGTATTTAAGTAATTGAATTTTTGGAGAATTGTCTAATAAAAAATGATTTACAAATGAAATTTTGTTAAAATGTTAGATAATAATTGAAAATTAAAAGCATCATAGTGTGAATTTTTAGAAATAATTGAATTTTGAAAAGGTTTCAAATTACAATTTTTGAAAATTTCCAAATTCTTTATACTTTTAAGTTTTAACTCACAATTCTGTAAAATTAATTTTTTTGAAAACGTTTAATTGAATTTCTTCTGAAATTATTTGGTTTTTATTTTCTAATATATATTTAATCGAAAAATTTACAAATAATCGAAATTTCGTAAAATTGAATTGTAAACAAATAAATTTGAAAATTTTCAAAGAACTTTTTAAAAAATTATTAAAAATAATTGCTTTATAGAAAAGTTTTAGTCAAAAATTGTAAAAATGAATAATCGTAATGATGAAAATAATTTTTGAAGAAGTTACAGTAACAAAGTAGCAAGTTTTGATTATTACAAAAAATGAAATTTGAAATTTTTGAAAATCTTAATTTCTATATGAAAAAATAATAATGATTAATAAATATTTATTTAAAAATGAAGTTATTGGTGTTTTTCAATAATTTTCATTTTAAAAACCGGGAAAAATTCCGTTTTTTAACTTGGAAAACCTAGAAAAGTCAGAGAATTTGAAAAGAGCAAAAGCGTGGCAACCCTGGAAAGAATTCCAATTGCTTTTTCATCGACAAAAAAATCGCTTTTCTAAAAATTTAAATAATACACCAAAAAAGAATCTCAAATTTGATTGAATTTATTAATTATAATGTAACCAATAAATGTAAATCACTTGAAAACGAATATCACGTGAGTGGCGTAAAATAAATGTAAATTGATATAAGAAAATAATATTAAACTGTTGAGAGAAATTTCAATAAATTTAATCAAAGACTATAGTATATAAAATTACGAAAGATTAATATATACGTATAAATTAAAATGAAAAATATACAAAAATGAAAAATACATATCTTGAATTGCTTGTTAAGATAAATATTCTTTCACGGATAATGAAAAGTGACTTAGTTTAGATTAGTGTATGACCACGTAGGGACATGTTGAGATGTGTGATGATAGCTATATGGTAATCAGTTTCTTCGGATGATTTTCCACTCTGTTAACCGTGTAATTACCGATTAAACAAATTACATCCTCGAAACTCAACGCGTGTTCTCACAGTTATCTTTAGTAATAGCGAGTTCTGTGCGTGACCTCAGAAAGAGCCACGCACCTACTCAACTGACTCAACGAAGCATTAACTCGTCTCCTAAGTACCAGACAATGTAGGGTTTTCTTTTTTTTAATAGCTGTTTCCGTATTTATAGTACAACAGACAGATTTTAATTCCAAGAATTTCCAAGGGGACAACAGGTAGCTGTCACAATATTCTCTGTAGTCAACAAAAAATTGAGCCACCAACATTTTTTTTTTCCTTTAAAGGATCTAACGGTGTTTTTGAAACTGATATACTCCCTAAATCAAACTTATCTCGATTAAAGTCTCCAAAAATTTGTCAATTGTTATGGTAATATGGTTCAACACTGAGTGCTCAACAACTATATATATATTATACTTATAAAGATCTTTTCTAATCTTTCTTTTAAGTGTGTATAAAAAAATAAGACAAGTCCTGTCCGTTATAACTGCGATCGAAATAAAAACCAAAGGGGGGTCTCTAAAATTTTATAAGTTAATTAATGGTTCCAGATCTCGGAAATTTATATGAATCTTTCGGTGTATTAAAAACCACGATAAAAAATAGAATGCAGGTCAATGAATTTTTGAGGGTCATTGAACGAAATTTTAAAATCTAGATTAAAAATGTAATAAAACACATATTCTGAAATCTATTCATTAGCATTTCAAAAAGACCATGAAAAACGAATCGTCTTTTTAATATACGTATATGAGAAAACGGTTTTTGTGATTTATATCAGTTTTAACGAAACTTGCTTTTGTTTCTTCTTTTTAATGGTAAATAAATCCTGACTTTATAAATTTTAAAAGATTCTAATTCTTATGCAGTGGGAAAAATATACTATTATAGTGCCAGATTGGACCAATTTTGAAAAGTCATATATTCTCATGATCGGAACAATAATAATAATAATAATCTAAATGTAAATGTAGAAACTTTTCAATTTAAATATTGGACTTGGACTTCTTATTAGAATTCTGAAATTTGGCAAAAACATGTGCAAAGTATGAGAGGGAAAAGATCCACATTTCAATATTTTTATAATACGAAAATTTTTATTTCTAAAGTTTGAAAAATATGAAAAAGTCAATTTTTTTTCGCTGATAGTTTTTTCCAATGTTTTTGCCAAACTTTAGATAAATAATTTTCCTGTAATCAAAAATGAGAAAATGTATTTTTTTCGTTTATACTATACCCGCATGATTTTGCCAAACTTTAGATAAATATAATTTTCCTACGATCAAAAATAGGGAAAAGTTGTTTCTTTCGCTTAAAATTATACTCATGTTTTCGCCAAAATTTATAAATAAATAATTTTCCAAGGAAAAAAATTAATAAAAGTCAATTTTTTTCGCCCATACTTTGCCCATGTTTTTGCTAAATTTCAAAAAATTAAATTTTTGTGATCAAAAAGTGGGAAAAGTTTATTTTCTTCGCCAATACTTTATCCATGTTTTATACCAGAGTTTGTAACTTTCATTTTTTTTTTATCTAAATTAGGAAAAATTGATTTAATTGCGCTCAAAAAATTAATTAAATAAATAAAATGGAGACTTCGCACTGGATAATTAATTTTAAAAAAGTATCAAAAAATAGCTTTTAAAAGCAATTCCTACAACGAATTTTATTATTCATGAAAGAATTAAAATATTTATAAAAATAATTTAATTAATGCGAAGAATTTTATAAAAAATTTTAAATAATAATTGATTACCTTCGACTAATTTTATACAAATTCTAATTTAAATAATTGAATTCCTGAGAAATTTTTATTGTTCATGAAAACAATTGAATACTTACGCAGATCTTTACAAAAAATTGTTTAAACAATTTAATTCTGCTTGAAAATTTTATGAAAACAGTAAATATTAAAAATCACTGAATTGCGAAAAGTTTTTAAAATAATTAAATTTTACAAAGAATTCTATTGAAATTTTTTACAGTAATTGAATGTCTGTGTGGTATTTTATTAAATTTTTTAAAAATAATTTATTTCCTAAAATTTTGCAAAGAATTTTATTAAAATGCATTAAAATAATTGAATTTTCGGGAATAATTTTGTTATTCATCGACATAATTGAATTCTTTTGAAGAATTATTTATGTAAATAATTGAATTTTTGGGCAGAATTTTATTAAAATCTAATAAAAGAATAATTGAATTATTTCAAAAAAAAAAAATTAATTAAAATTGTATCGAAAATAATTGATTTCTTTCGAGCAATTTTATTAAAAATATTTGAAAATTATTGAATTTCTGTAAAAAATTCTAATATTTTTTTGAATAATTGAATTCTTCTAAAGAATTTAAACAAAAACATTTTTTTAATAATTGATTTTTTCGAGTAATTGAAATTAAATTTATAAAAATAATTACATTTTTTGAGCAATTCCTGTAAAATTGTATTAAAAATAATTGAAATCCTGTGATGAATTTTATTGTTTTTGAAAATAATTGAAGAGTTTCAAAGAAATTTATTAAAATTTTTTAAAAATAATTGAATCCCTGAGAAGAATTTTATTATTTATAAAAATAATTCAATTAATGCAAAAAATTTTATTAAAATGTTTAAAGAGAATTGAATTTCTGTGAAATATTTTGTTATTTTTGAAAATAATTGGATTTTTCATAAGAATTTTATAAACATTGTTTTGAATAATTATTTTTTTTGAAATATAATAAATATTATGAAAATTTTATTTCAAATAATTGAAATTCTTCAATGAGTTTTATTATTTATGAAAATAATTTAATTCTTGCTTGGAATTTTTTCAAAAAATTGAATTTCTATTAAGAATATTATTATTAGAAAAAGTAATTGAATTATGTTGTGAAAAATTGTATAAAAATTTTGTGAAATAATTAATTTTTTTGAAAATGCTATTCTTAATTGAATTCCTGTGGAAATTTTATTATTTATGAAAATAATTGAATTTTGAATGAACTTTATCATTTTTTTTTAAATAATTGAATTCTTCATAAGTATTTTATAAATATCGTTTTAAATAATTAATTTTTTTGAAAATAATAATTATCA